TCACATATTTTCTTAAAATATCACTAAAATTAGGCTTTATATCTGATAATTGAATGCGAAGATCTGGAGCTGCATCAAGTCTATTTCTGTACTTGTTTTTGGTGTAAGCGTAAGCTGAAAAACCAGTCTCGCATCGGTAAGTCGTCACAAACGGAAGCAGAATTGTAATAGCTTTCTCAACAATTGTAGGATATTCATCTTGAARTCCAATCCAAAAATTATTTAGATCAAAATTTTCAGCTCCAAATTTTTGTTTAAGAGAAGATGAACATTTAATATMAATTAAATTCTCATACTCTGACACAGTAAGCATTGATGGTTTGGTATGATCTGCGAATGGATTCTGCAACCAGTTCATGTCCTGTAACTTCTCCGGAAAATACTCTTTCAAGGATTTTTTTAGGCTTATTAAATGCTCATGTATATTTTTTTCCACATCTGAAGTTACTTGCAACTCATTTTCTTTCAGAAAGTCATTTAAAATAATAAAACATTCGTAATTATGTTGATCAACACATTCAATCCAGAAGTCAATTTTGTTTTCAAGTGAAGAAATTTTGTCATTTACTGTAAATATATTCGTGGTTTTTCCCTGTAGGGCTTTGCAGATTACGTTAAGTTTATCGAATATATCGGCCAAGTAAGCCAATTTTATTAACCATACCTCATCATGCAATAAATCAACAAACGCGTCAGTAGATGCAGAACCGGGTTGTTTGGTGAAAAATATCTTAAGCTCGTTGYGCAATTCAAATAGCCTCAATAAAACTCTTCCTCTTGAGAGCCATCTCACTTGTGTGTGAAGAAAAAGTGATTGATGCTGACTTCYTATATCTTCGCACACTTTTTTAAAAAGCCTTGACTGGAGTGGACGTGATTTGACGTAATTCACAATTTGTACAGCTTGATCGAGAACTGTCTTAAGCTCGTATGATATTTTCATCGCGACAAGAGCATGACGATGTAAAACGCAGTGACTGCTACTACATTTAGGTGCAACACTCTTGATTCTTGTTACAGTGCCTTTTATTTTGCCGATCATAGCTGCTGCTCCGTCTTTTTTATGAAAGTTTTGTTTAATTTTTGGACGGTACGCGGAACCCTTGAGGCCCTTCCACGGAACCCCGGGGTTCCGCGGACCACCTTTCGGGAATCCCTGGTCTACTGTATACTGTACTATCTACATTTTTTACTTTCATAAGACTACATCAGGTACCTACTCAAAAACGATATGTAAAAACATATAAATCCCGACTCAGGATAATATACCAAATAAATCATTTTATACTAATGCACTATTTTTAATAATTAAATTAAATAATAATTTTTAAATTTTTTTTGTAAATAAAAGTAATAATACTTTTAAGAAATATTTACTTGAAATACGTAATTTGTAATAATAATAATTGTTTATAAAAATAAAAACAATCAATTGACTAGGTAGGTAGGTACCTAATTTCTTTATAATTTTTGTAATATACTTTTACATCAAATAATAGTCAAAATGATAATTTTTACAGAATCAAAATGCGTCTAGACCACTACAGCTTTTACAAAGAAAAATTGTTAGTAAGTAAAAATACTTTAATTGGTTCAACTAAAGAAAACTTTAAGTTATTT